CTCTCTCTCTCTCTCTCTCTCTCTCTCTCTCTCTCTCTCTCTCTCTCTCTCTCTCTCTCTCTCTCTCTCTCTTTCTCTCTCTCTCTCTCCTTCTCTCCCCCTACGAAAATGAAAACCTTTTTTTTATCTGTGCTGTAAAAACGTGTCATGACGGCCATCGCACGACAAAAATATCCTTGTTTGTTGTGCATCTAGTGATTGTGGAGTCACCCAAACTTTATTGTTTTTTTCTCTGCCATAAAAAGGTGTCACGATGGCCACCACACGATAGAACAATCCTTGTTCGTTGTGCATCCAATGATTGCGGACTCACCGAAACTGACAAAAGGTGCCGCGATAGCCATGATATGACGACAAAAGGTTGTTCGTTGTGCATCCAGTGTTTATGAACTCTCTCTCTCTCTCTCTCTCTCTCTCTCTCTCTCTCTCTCTCTCTCTCTCTCTCGTTGTTCGTCCCACCCCCTCGATGCCCACAGCACCGAGGGGGTCCGGCGTTCCCTTCGGTGCTGCGGGGGATGAAGGGGGTCCATCCCACCCCCTCGATGCCCGCAGCAGCAAGGGGGTCCGGCGTTCCCGGAACGTGGACCCCGTTGGTGCTGCGGGGGATGAAGCGGGTCCGTCCCCCGCCCTCGATGCTCGCAGCACCAATGGGGTCCGGCGTTCCTGGAACGCTGGACCCCCTGGTGCTGCGGGGGAGGGAAGGGGTCCGTCCCACCCCCTAGGTGCTGCGAGGGAGGAGGCGGTCCGTCCCACCCCCTCGGTGCCCGCAGCGCCAAGGGGGTCCGACGTTCCCGAAACGCCGGACCCCCTACGTGCTGCGGGGGAGGATGGGGTCCGTCCCACCCCCTCGGTGCCAGCAGCGCCAAGGGGGTTCGGCGTTCTCGAAACGCCGGACCCCCATGGTGCTGCGGGGGAGGAGGGGGTCCGTCCCGCCCCCTCGGTGGCCACAGCACCTTGGAGCTGCGGGGGAGGAAAGCGGTCCGTCCCGCACCCTCGGAGCCCGCAGCACCAAGGGGCTTCGGCGTTCCCGGAGGAGGAGGGGGTCCGTCCCGCCCCCTCGGTGGCAACAGCACCTTGGTGTTGCGGGGGAGGAAAGCGGTCCGTCCCGCACCCTCGGTGCTCGCAGCACCAAGGGGGTTCGGCGTTCTCGGAACACCGGACCCCCTTCTTGCTGCGGGGGAGGAGGGGGTTCGTCCCGCCCCCTCGGTGGCCACATCACCTTCGTGCTGCGGGGGAGAAAGGGGGTATGTCCCGCCCCCTCGGTGCCCGCAGCACCAAGGGGGTTCGGCGTTCCCGGAACGTCGGGCCCCCTTGTTGCTGCGGGGGAGGAAGGGGGTCCGTCCGGCCCCCTCGATGGCCACAGCACCTTGATGTTGCGAGGGAGGAAGGGGGTCCGTCCCGCCCCCTCGATGGCCACAGCACCAAGGGGTTCCGGCGTTCCCGGAACGCTGGACCCCCTTCGTGCTGCGGGGGAGGAAGGGGGTCCGTCCCGCCCCCCTCAATGGCCACAGCACCAAGGGGTTCCGGCGTTCCCGTCCCAACCCATCGCTGGGCTAGAACAGCGAGAGGGGCCGGCGTTCCCGGAATGCCGGACCCCCCTTCGTGATGCGGAGAGGGAGGGGTTTTGTCCTGCCACCTCCCTCTCTCTCTCTCTCTCTCTCTCTCTCTCTCTCTCTCTCTCTCTCTCTCTCTCTCT